CTGGCTCGGAGCTTGTCTGCCTGGCTGTGTGTTTCCTGGACGAGGCCGCCTTTTGCAGCTGCTTTTTGTGTCTCTGCTTCTGTCTCTTTGAACCCCAGTCGGCCTCAGCAGATGACCGCTCACACTGAGCCGGGTTCTGCTGGAGGTTTCTTCCTGTTAAAAGGGAGTTTTTCCTCTCCACTGTCGCTACAAGCATGCTTAGTGTGAAGGATTGTATTTGAGTCAATGAGTCAATGCAATCAACTGGTTTTCCTTAGATAGAAAACTTTGTATCAATTCGACTGATGATCTGGTTGAACTGTAAAGTGCCTTGAGATGACATGTGTTGTGAATTTGGCGCTATATAAATGAACTGAATTGAATCATTTACTACCTTACCATTACATAAGCCAACACAGACAAGCAGGCAGGATGTCATGATCTGCTCTTATAGCTGGCCTAAATTGCTCATTTCACTCACCTGTCTAGTTCTGCCCAGTTCCTAATCATCTCTTATCTCATTCACCTGTCAATGTACCTGTCCAGCCCAGCTATCTGGGCCAGATCATTGTTTGATTTCTATTTGTTCCCTGTTTGCCTTCTGTTAGTGTCCTGCCTGTTTTTTTTGTTGTTTCTATGCACCTCTGGAAGGTTTTATTGTCCTGCAGCGCTGCACCACTACAGCACTTTTAATTGTACCTGTATGTTGTGTATGTGTTACGTATTGTTTTATGGCTTTGTTGTAAAGCACTTTGGGTACCATTTGGCTATTGTAAAGTGTTATACAAATAAATTTGATTGATTGATTGATTGTTTTTGTTATTTTTAGTTATTTCCAAGGTTCATGTTCCAGTGGGGATTTTATTCTCAAGCCAATGTCCTCAGGCAAGTCATTCTGTAACCAGTGGTGAGAGTGTTACAGTGTTTCCCTAGGGGTCCTGTTTACTTGATTCTGTTCCCTCTCACCAACTGGCCCCGTCTGTCCCTGCCTGATCTGTTCGCCACGGTTGGACTCCTCCTGGATTCTGCCTTCCACGTGTGTTTCTGTCGACGCACGGTTAACAGTAAATTTTGCAGTGTTGAAATAACACTTTAAGAGTGCATTTGGTCCCACTCGGAATTGGTGTTAAATTAGAACTCTATGTAGTGTATATTTTACTCCAGTTGTTGTTATAATAACTCAAAAAGAGTCAATGTACTTTGACAGTACATATTTAATTAAATTTTTGGAATTGACTGTCTACTCTGAACCTGGCTTCATTCGCTGATGGATTCCTGGAACCCGGATCTGTCTGTTCCCGAGTGGATCGGAACCCCTGTCCGGACTGCGGACTCCTGCTCTCCAGTACTACTTCAGTCTGATCTGAATCCCAGTCCTGGATGGATTTTTTCTCTGCCTGCTCACTGGGGTTGCTACATCGGGGACAGCCTGGATGACTCAGGGTTGCATCTCGTGCGCAGTGCATCGGCTGATCCTGCCTATCTTTCAGAGGATGGACTGAACAGTTAAACCAGGTAAGTGACTCATTCTGATAATCATGTTCTGTTCAGGTGATACCTGTGTTTTGCCACAGGTCCGCAGATCCTTAGCAGCTTGCTTCTGTTCTGTCTGTTTATGTTTTTATTTTAATTAATGTTTTAAACTTTCCTACTGGCTGTCTCACCTTGAATACAGGGTCCATCTGGTCCCGTTTGACACAGGATAAGTGTTGACGATGATGAGAGGTGCAGTTTGTGTGCAAAGTAGTTCCATGGTGCCATGGTTAAAAGCTCTTGACATTTTTCAGCTGACCAATAGGGCAGCTAACAGATGTCTTCAGGGGAGGGAGGGAGCAGGTAGAGCCACATATTAACATATCATCTTGGGAAAGTTGAGTGGATAAAGGCCTCTCCAGTGGGGAGCCGAATTTCAAAATAGAGACAGATTGTTTGGGTCAGGCAGGCTGTTAACTCTTTCTGCCAACCTTCAGAGTTTTTGCTGGAGTCTCATCATTGCAAAACCAAATTGAACAGGTTTATGGTCCACTCTGCCAAGATCTGAGCTTACAACTTTCTCCAAGATTACACCATTTCACCTCTGAGTACAGGAACCCACGCAGCTGAAAACATTCAGGAATGACTAAGAGGAAAACATTGGACTATTCTGAAGTCCATTCTATGAGCAGGGACCTAAATCCTGTTGGGCATGATTGGAAGGAACTGAAAAAGGCTGTCTCAAAACACTAAGCGGAACAAAATACCTACTTTGAGGAGCAGAAGTCTCAGTTAGAGTAATAGTTTGATTCCAGTGATTGATTAAAAAGTCTGTTTAACAAAATATAAACTTAAGGGCACTAAAAATTATATTCACATGTTTATTGTTTATATTGGGATCACTGGCAGTTTTTTTTGTCACCACTGTGAAAATAGTACACATCCATCCATCCATCC